TTCAGTATCCATGCACATTCAGTAATCTCTGCTGGAACACCAGCTGTCCCAGAGAAGGAACTCATGGATCCGGAGAAGTTGGTATGGGGAGCTTTGGGGCAGACAGATATTCCACAGTTAGATGTCAGGCCTGGGGACAGAGGTTTCTTCTCTTCAGAAATGGGTCAAAGGGGTGAATTCTTCCAAGTTTCGTGACTGTATTCACGCAACAACAGTACCACCATCCTTAGTAAAGTATATCCATTATGAATTATGCACTAATAACAGAGATGTGAATAAGGAAATCAGGTTGAACCCAAGAAATGATCTCTAACCCACCGCATCTCTGTCTCTGCAGTCTCCCTCCTTTCCCTCTCCCTCCTTCTCTTGTCCTCCCTTCCTTCCAACTTCCCCTTCTCCTTCCTCCTTCAAAATCTTGAGCTGAAATTTTTGGTTTTGTTCACCTGTCTCTTTCTTCACTATAAGGGCCTCATTTATGAATCTTAAGATAGTGAAGCTGTGAGGTCACTTAGCTATGTAAGTGCAAAAGATTCCTTTTAATTTAAGAAATTTCACCCTTTACAAATGCCAAAAACAACATAAAATACCAAGGGTAGCACTGACCAAACAATTGAAAATCCTGTATCGCAAGAACTTTGAATCATTAAAGAAAGAAATTAAAGATGCCCTCAGAAAATGGAAAGATCTCCCATGCTCTTGGATAGGTAGGATCAATGTAGCAAAAATGGCAATCCTGCCAAAAGCAATCTACAGTTTCAATGCAATCCCTATTAAAATCCCAGCACAATTCTTCACAAACCTTAAAAGAACAATAATCAATTTTGTATGGAAAAACAAAAGACCCAGGAAAGCCAAAACAACCCTGTTCAACAAGGCAATGTCCGGAGGCATCACCATCCCTGACCTCAAGCTCTATTATAGAGCTATAGTCCTGAAAACAGCTTGTTATTGGCACAAAAATAGAGAGGTAGACCAATGGAATCGAATTGAAAACCCGGATATTAACCCACACACGTATGAACATCTGATCTTTGACAAGGAAGCTAAAAATATACAGTGGAATAAAGAAAGCATCTTCAACAAATGGTGCTGGCATAACTGGAGGCTGGCATGTAGAAGAATGCAGATCGATCCATGTTTTTCGCCATGCACAAAACTTAAGTCCAAATGGATCAAAGACCTCAACATAAATCCAGCCACACTGAACCTCTTAGAAGAGAAAGTGGGTGGTACCCTTGAACGAATTGGTACAGGAGACAGCTTCCTGAACATAACACCACTAGCACAGACAGTGAGATCAACAATTAATAAATGGGACCTCCTGAAACTGAGAAGCTTCTGTAAGGCAAAGGACACAGTCAGCAAGACAAAAAGGCAGCCCACAGAATGGGAAAAAATATTCACTAATCCCACATCTGACAGAGGGTTGATCTCCAAAAATTACAGAGAACTCAAGAAGCAAGTCTCCAAAAGACCAAAGGATCCAATTAAAAAGTGGGCTGCAGAACTAAATAGAGAATTTTCAATAGAGAAGTCTAAAATGACTGAGAGGCACTTGAGAAAGTGCTCAACATCTTAGCCAACCGGGAAATGCAAATCAAAACAACTCTGATACCATCTCACTCCTGTCAGAATGGCTAAAATCAAAAACACCAATGACAATTTATGCTGGAGAGGATGTGGTGAAAGGGGAACACTCCTCCATTGCTCGTGGGAGTGCCAACTGGTTCAGCCACTTTGGAAATCAGTATGGAGATTCCTCAGAAAAATGGAAATAAACCTACCACAGGACCCAGCAACTCCACTCTTAGGCATATATCCAAAAGATGCCCATTCATACAACAAGGATGTATGTTCCACTATGTTCTTAGCAGCATTATTTGTAATAGCCAGAACTTGGAAGCAACCTAGATGTCCCTCAACCGAAGAGTGGATAGAGAAAATGTGGTACATTTACACAATGGAGTACTATTCAGCAGAAAAAACAATGGAATCCTGAGATTTGCAGGCAAATGTATGACACTAGAATAAACCATCCTGAGTGAGGTAACCCAGTCACAAAAAGAGAAACATGGCATGAACTCTCTCATATATGGATTTTTAGACATAGATCTTGGGAGCGCCAGCCTACAATCCCATGGCCAGAGAGTCGCGAAAACAGAAACTTCTTTCAGTGGATGATGGAAGAAGAGGCAGACTCCCATAGCTAAGCACTGAGATGAACTCAAGAAAGCCAGTAACAGAGAGGGAGGACTGATGACCAAAGGGGTTAAGACTGTGCTGGTTTAACCCCAAGAAACAGCTGACCTGACAAAGGTTAACTCTTGAATCCCAGGCATCAGCCTAGGAATCCAGCATGGGACTGATCAAGACCCCCTGAATGTGGGTGTCAGTGAGGAGGCCTAAGTAATCTATTGAGCCTTGGGCAGCAGATCAGTACCCATCCCAAGTATACACATTGTCTTTGGACTTCCAACAAACAATGTGAGATGCACTGTCACCCTGAACTCTTGGGGGAGGGTCTAGGCCCTGCCCTATATGAAATGACAGACTATGGACACCCCCATGGAGGTCTTCACCCTCCCTGGAGGAATGAGGGGATAATGGGAGTGTTGGGGAGAGGGCACGGGCAGAGGGGAGGGAAAGGGAGAGGGACCTGACTTGTGAAGCAACCTTGTTACTAATCTAAATTTAAACTGAAAAATAAATAAAATAAATTTTTCCATGGAGATTTCATCACTGTCCTTGGTAGAGACATGCAGGTGTGAGCAGGTCATAGCTAGACCGTCTCCCTCCACCCCCTCCTGCTACCTGCCTCCCCTCCAGGTCCCCTCCTCCAACCCTCTAAGCCTCAGGACTTTGTGTCCCATGCTCATGTCTCCCCTCCTCTATATGAGGTAAAACGCCAGGTCACACAACTTCAGAATGACCATGACAAATCTGCTCATTCTTTCTCTCCCCCATCTCCCACCATTACATTCTTGAGAGCTGAGCCAAACCATACTTCTCCTATATTATATGACGACTAATGTGCCTCACCTCCACCTGTGATGCAGACATCACTGTAGTGATTTCCTCTTTATGCTTTAACAAAGTCTGGATGAGTATCAGAGGACAGAGATAGCAATTAGTTAACCAAAGAGGTCTGGAGGCCTGTGCAGACAGACCAGAAGTGACATGTGACATGGCTGGTCGTAGAGATGAGGTGATAAGTTGGGAGGAAACAAAAGTTCAGTCTCTTTTGTACTGTGACATTGAGGGGGTGAGTTGTGACTGTGATTTTTTCCTTTATCTCTCTGGTCTTAGAGCATTTAACCTTATATCTGACACTGGGGCTTTTTTTGAGACCTATTATAACTAGAGGTACACAACGGGCCCCATTATGGAGCAAAAATTAAATAAAATCCCCTTGCTTATGGCTTGCAGGCACTGGCACAGGCCGGAGCTCCATGAGGCGTTACTGCCAAAGTCAGCTCCCAGCTGGCTAGGTTCTTCTCTCTTTTTCCTGCCTCTGACTGAGTTAAGTTTGGGATTCAAGTTGCTCCTGCTCCAGGCTCTCCGCAATAGAGTCCATTCTTCCCAAATCCAGAGGTGCCTGGTCTCCAAATGCCAGAGGACTTACCTTCCCTAGACCAGCTGGTTCTCCATTTAGGCAGCTCCCACCACTCATTGTTCTTGTGCACAATCCCATGTGCACTTTCTGATAGCTGGCTCTCTGTCTCTCTCCTTCTCTCTATGTCTGTCTCTCTCTATGTCTCTCCCTCCCTCTCACTTATCTGTCTCTCTCGTACTCTCTCCCTCTCTCTGTCTCCCTCCCTCCTTCTCCCCCCCATGGATTGTGGGCTTTCCCTACACCCCTCCTCCTTGCACTGCCAGTCTCAACTCAAGGCTACATGCTAGGAGCCTCAGCTGTCTCCAACACACTGTTCACCACCAGTGTGGTTCTATCACATGTGCTACAATACACAGCATCAGGCCCCACAAGGAAGATTCCACAAGGACTGAGACAGCAACATAAAGCTGAAAAACAACCCCTAAAGATCAGCTTTGGACCACAAACTACTCAGGACAATTTCAAGATACATAGCTGAGATGATCCAGCCTCACACATTTCTGTATCCAGGACTTTAGTACCCCACTTTTCAAATGGATTATTTAGTGTTTTGGTGACTAGCTATTGAATTCTTGCAAATTTTGGAGATCAGCCTTCTGTCAGATGTGGGGTTAGTGAAAATCTTTTCCCATTCTGTGGGCTTTTGTCTTATTACATTCAAGGGTCCTTGCCACTTCAGTGTCGATGAATTTATGTTGAAGTCTGTGATCCATTTGGAATTAAGTTTTATGCATGGGGATACATATAGATCTATCTTCAATATTCTACATGTAAGTATCCAGTTATGGCAGTACCATTTGTTGAAGATACTTTCTTTTTTCCATTGTACAATTTTAGCTTCTTTGTCAAACATCAGGTGTTCATGGGTGTGTGTGTGTGTGTGTGTGTGTGTGTGTGTGTGTGTGTTAATATCACGGTTTTCAATTCAATTCCATTCGTCTACCTGTCTGTTTTTGTGCCAATACCAAGCTGTTTTCATTACTATAGCTCTATGGTGGAGAAAGAAGTCGGAGATGGTGATGCTTCCAGAAGTGTCTATATTGTACAGAATTATTTTGGCTACCTTGGGTCTTTTGTTTGGAGCTGTGGTGATATGCCTTCCCATTCTCACTTGTTTCTTCTTTTCTGTTTTCCCCAGGTGCCAGTGGCCAGTGTTCCACCCTTGGTCTCTTAGAGATAAACACCTGCCTGAGCACATGCCACGGGAGCGAATCTTTATAAAGTGTCTCCATGCTTTCATTTTCTTCTGTTGTACCACCTGTGGGACACCTTCATAGCTACCGAGTCTAATAATTGTTGGTTTGAGGTCTTTCCACGGCCTGTCTGCACAGGAACACAATCACCATTTAGCCTCCCTCCTGCCACCCCAGAAAGAAGAGTCTGAAAACACAATACAAGATTCTATTTACCATTGACATTGTTCCTTTTTCTCTGCGAAACTGGCCAATCAGCATCTCACATGCACCCCAGTGGCCATAAAAGTTGTAGACAACACAGAGAATTGTCATTGGTCCATCCGTTCATTGGTGAAACTTGAAATACTAAACAATCCACACATATTCCACTTTCCAGATTATTGTAACCCAAAACCATTATTTCACTCGAGATAATTTGCTCCAAGTGAAACTGTAGGAAGGAATCTGCAGGTGGGGGGTTGCAAATATTCAAGTAGTTAACGTCACATTGTCCTTGGAGAACCAAAACCACACAGCACCCTGCTAAACATAGATGGCAACATGAAACTGGAAGACTTTGCTCTCGACTCCAGGTGTACGGGGGCGCTGGGCTGAAAGGGCAAAGTGGTAAAAAGATCTCCAATGTCCCAGAAACCATCAGTATAAGAATGCTGGGGAAACTACTCTCCCCAAATCCAGCTCATTAAGTCAGCAGGTTTCCTGGAGCTCCTTGCAGAAGTATGGTTGCGGCACCACTTACGCAGGGCTGACTCTAGGGCAGCTGCATCTCACGATGCCTGGGCCAGGCTGGCTTCACCTTAGAACAGCTGTCTTCCTGGAGGTCTCTGGTAAACGGGACATCATGGCATGCAGGTCATTCTTGTGGTTCAGGGACATCCCAGCTGGGTAGGACTGTTATTGCTCCTCCCCTCAAGAGCCTCCTCCTTAAAAGCCAGAAATGAACTGCGATCCTCAACTGCAAAGGCCAAGGACACATCACAGTGGTTTCAATTGTAAATAACTAAATATCGGCCTCTTTGCTCCATTGAGACAAAGGCTACTGAGGGGATCTCATAAGCTTTCTCTTACTGTCATATACAACAAGACAGTGCAGGAACATTGTGCAGGAGGCTGTCTAATATGCAGTCCCATCTTACAGAGTTAGTGTCTGTGTGGGTAGAGCAAACCATGGTGGGCTGAAGAGCTGATGACACACTTTAGTCCACAGCCGGAGACAGAGAAGGAATCTCTGGTAAAGGTTTGGTCTTTTGAATCCTCCAAACTCACCCCAGTGACACACCTGTTCAAACAAGGACATAACTCTCCATCCTGTTCAAAGAGTTCCATGAACTAGGGACCAGGTTTTGAAGTATATTAGCCTATGGGGATCATTCTTATTCAAACTTACCCATTATCACAGGAAGGACAAAGGTCCTTGAGAGAAAAATCATGACAGCCACCGGAGTTTAATGTGAGCAGAAAGAGAGCCATATTTGTTGCCATATTTGTTCACAGGGAGGTCTCTTATGACAGTCGTTTTGGTTAGATTTTCACCTCTATATTCTAGGGATCTTGGTTTTGACAAAATAAGGGACTCAAATGTTCCTATATTGATTTAGTTCACAGTTCTGTGAGATTTTTGCCAGGACCTGACAGAGGAGGAGCAAGCCTCCAGCTCACTTTGAGAGCAGACTCTGGAGAAAGAGAGCCTTGGGACTAAGTAGGTGGTGCTTGTTATTAGAGTTCTGTGGACTTCACTCTGTAAAAGACTACTGAGCCCTCGCAGGGACACAGCATTAGACAGATCCTATCATAGAAGGCACGGAAAAGCACCTGTGCTACATTTTTGTCAGAAACGCCAATCTCCAAAGGTCACAGACACCGAATGCAGCCTGTTGGTTGCACATCATAATGGAATCTCTTATGAATGCATGACTGACCATGCTGGGGAGGAGTCTTGATGGATTATGTCAGCCATCAATGCCACCAGAGAGCAAAGCCTAACCCAGCCATATGGATGCTGACAGCGATGTCAGGGCCCCTAGACCCAGGGTAGAGTTGGTCACTGGAACTGAGCCTTCAATGTTCCCAAATCCTCTCTCAGATTAGGATATGAGGGTAAAGATTGCCAGATTCTGGGCAGGATGCTCTTTGTTGTGCAAGCATTGGGCACCTTCCCTGCTCAGGGGACAGCATTCATATTCTGGAGGGACACATGCTAACCGGAGCAGGGTCATGTCACTGGGCAGCCAAAAATCATTCATAGACCACCCTTCCTATTCCATCACAGAAGTCATCACCACAAGGTATTCAGCAATCTCTCAGGAACAATGTCCATGCCTCCAGAGAGTGACATACCCTTTTTTGGTGACCTGCAAAACACCTCATAGCTACTGAGTGTAATAGGTATTGGGTTGAGCATTCACCATGCCCCATTTGTATAGGGACACAGTGACCACCTAGCCTCATGGCCTGCCTCCCCCATTTACTCTTTGCCAAGGTGCATTTGGCTCTGTGAAATGGCCAATTCCTGCTTACCAGCAGGTGGCCATAAAAGTTACAGACTACAAAGAGATGTGCCTCTGTTCCATTGTGTCACATGTGGTCACTCAAACTACAACATCAAAACATCATTCAGCTGTTTCAGGTTCAAACGACCACAGATCATCTTACTTTGTGACACAGCACGTCCTGTGAGGAAACTTGGTGGAACTTGTTTTGGAAGGCTGCAGCCTGCAGGGGGCAGAGGTACAGAATATTCCAGCAGATAAAGTCAGTCATGAAGCCCATAGGATCTTGACTTTTTAAGTAAGACATAAATGTCCAAACATTCTGATGCATGCACATGGAAAAGGGAAGCTGGAAGACTTTGGTCAGTCCCAGGTGTAGATGTAGCACTGAGCTAAAAGCACCATGTGGTAAGAAGACCTTCAAAGACCCAGAAATTATCAGTGTACCCCAGACCCAGGAGAAACCACAAACTGAAGGATTGATTCTACCAAAACCCAGCTTGTTAAATCAGGAGGTTTACTTGATCTCCTTACCGAATTATGGGTGTGGCATCACCTACATTAGGGCTGACCCAAGGGCAGCTGCATCTCATGACGCCTGTCCCAGCCATGGTTTCTTCTTAGAAAAGCTGCCTTCCTGGTGGTCTCTGGTAAATGGGATGTCTTTCCGTGATGGACATTGTTTGGTTCATGGCATCCCAGCTGGATAGGACTGTATTTGATCTTCTCATCAAGAGCCTCGTTCTCAAAAGCAGGAAACGACCTGAGATCCTCAACTACAAAGTACACCACAGCATCATACTGGGTTAGACTTGTGAATGAGTAAATACCGGGCTCTTTGATACATAGACAAAAGATATTAAGGCGTTCTCTTTAGTCTTCACTTCCTGTAATAAAATTCCATGAGAGATCCATCCATGGGACCAGGTAAACCAGGGCCTGTATCGGGGCCAACTTACAATACCTGGGGACTGCTACTGGGTCTCTACTCTCAGCGGGAACTAACCCACCTCAATTTTCCAGTCTTCTCCACCCAAGGGACCAAGTAAACTGGGGCCCATATCTCGGCACGTGTTCCAATGCCTGGGCTGTGCCACTGAGTCTCCCCTCCCGGCGAGAGCCAATGCACCCCAGCATTCTAGTCTATTTCCCCACCCATGGGACCCCAGCTAGAACCAGGAAGAGGAGAACTACCAAACTATTGGATTTACTTGCACTCACCAAAAGTGAAGCCTGATCACTTAACCACCTGGCCAGGAAGAGGCTCCTTCTTCATCCACTAGTAGAAGGGATGGGAAGGAGACAATACAAAAACACACTCAGCAACAGAAAAAAAAATATTACACTGCCTGACTCTAGAGTCTCTACAACAGCAAGATCTAACATTCCAATGTAAATGAAGCCAAAGAGAATGACCTTAAAAATTAATTCATGCAAATGATAGAGGCCCTCAAAGAGGATATGGAAAAATCCTTTAGTGCTGGAACAAAAAACACACCAAAAAATGCAAGCAATGGAAGTAAAAACAAATGAAAAAATCCAAAAATTGCAAGAAATGAGGGAAAAGACAAAGCAAAAATTCGAAGAAACAATGCAAACAGTGCAGGGGTTGAAAGCTGAAATAGAGACAATAAAAAAAAAGTCTAAAGGAATGCTGGAAAAGTAAAGGTTGGGCAAATGGTCAGGTACTACAGATGTAAGCATGACCAACAGAATACAAGAGATGTAAGACAGAATCTCGGGTGTTGAAGTACACTAGGAGAAATAGATACATCAACCAAAGAAAATATGAAGTCCAGGAAGTATGGGACACCATGAAAAGATGAAACCTAAGAATAAAAGGTTTAGAAGAAGGTGAATAAAACAACTATACAGACAAGAAAAATAAGAGTATATTGACACCAAGAGCATGGGCTTCTGGCACAGGGAAAAGAAGAAATCACTGGAAGTTGTCTCACCTTCCCAGAACCTCTGAGCTGTTTCCAGAAGGAAAAAATATACCTGACTGATGTCCAGGCCTGAAGCAGGCTGGGCTGGAGGAACTACACTGCTCGACAGCTGACCCTGAATGGCCTGGAACCTCCCCTATGGCCGATATGGCCATGCCACCTGTTGATGGTCCCCTCTCCCAGGAACTGCTGCTGTTAGAGAGTGAGTTCACTTCGAGGTCACAAAGTGGGAACACCAACCATGACACCTGTGTCTTGTGAGGCTTTTCAATAAAAAAATTAAATGTCATTGTACATTCCACCCACAGTTCTCTCTCCCACCCCCTCACCCCCATCATGTCCTCCCACCCATCCCAAATGTCCCAGCCCATGCCCAGTGTACATGTCCTCACAGGTAAACACTCCCATGAGGGGTCAACACAGCCTGGCACCACTGGTTAGGGCAGGGCCAGGCCTTTCTCTGTGCATTAAGGTTGAGCCTGGCATGCCATCGTGAGGAATGAGCTCCAACAAGATAGATCTTGTACCAGGATTGTATCCTGGTCCTGCCGCCAGTGGCCCCTCTGATAGTCCAAGATCACAACAGTCTCCCACATTCAGAAAGCCTACGTCAGTCCCCTGGAGTCTCCATAGTTGTAGGTCTAGAGGTCATGAGTTTCCACGAGCTTGGTTCAGCTGTCCCTGTAGATTTCTGCATTGTGATTTTAACCTCCCTTCCTCATGTGTTCCCTCCTCTCTGTCTGTGACTGGAGTCCCAGAGTCTGGAGCTTGTTTGTCATTCTGTCTGGTTCCATCCATTGCTGGATGAGGTGGATGCTGACAGTTGGGGTGTTCATCAATCTGACTACAGGTGTTAGGCCAGCTCAGGTGTCCTCTCGACTACTGCTTTCCCTGGGTCTTCCTTGTGGAGTCTTGGGAGTTAAACTAGCACCAAGTTTCCCCCTAAGCCCATAGATATTAATATATCTCTTTAATTTTTATAGCCACTTTCTCCTCTCTGAGGACAATATAAGATTTGGAAAGAAATCAAAGCCAGGCTATTAACTTTCCTTGGGTTAGTGCCTCAGCCTGCATTGAGACTCTCTCCCATTGCATGAGCTCTGGCAGACACGTTAGTATCGCAATCCCAATAATACAATGGAGAACGCCTGTGAAAAACCAAGAGGAAACCAAGAAGACATATTTATTTTTTGAAACCACGGCTACATCATGAATCTGGACATTGGGCCCAGTTGATCATGGAAGAGCATCCCAGCCAATCATGGAACAGTGTCCCAGCCAGACATTAAAAGCACCCGCTGGGCACAAACTCAGAAGAGTTAACAGCACAGGATGTTGCCATGGGAATGGCATCCATATTGCCAAACCGATTTGACATGAATGTTTGTTCTCAGTGTGTGAGCTCACTTAATGAAGCAGATAGCAAAAATATTCAGGATCAAGTTAACTCTGACCTGGAGGCAGCATCTGTGTTATTCAATGGCTAAAAGTGTCAATACTCCCTCACTACAAAGTATGTCTCCCCCATAGAACAGTCAAATACTTTAACTGACAAGCACAGGGGAGATTTGGTCTGCCTAGTTGGCAGCTCAGGGAGAAATGCTCCACTTGCATACTCATATGGAAAAGAAAATGTCATCAATAACAGCGATGAAGGATTTATTCCCCTGATGTGGATGTGGGACATGGCACCCGGGAACACAGCTGTGGTAGAGTTCCTGCTTCAGAATGGAGCAGATCCCCAGCTTTCAGGAAATGCCTAGAAAGTGCGCTGTCATTGGCCTGTACATGGGTATTGTCAAAGTCTGCTTGCTGTGGATTTGGTGTAAATGAATGTGATGGAACAGAGGGAGCGACACCTTGGATCTGTGCCATCCATGGGAATGGTGTGACATGTGCAAAGATGCCCTTAGAAAATCAAGTTGACCCAAAAATTGAAACACACACTGGGCAGAGTTCCATGGACTTAGCTATAGCCTTGGGCTACAGAAGTCTCCAACGTGTTGATGAGTCACAGGTACTAATGCTACTTCAAAACATCATGGAGCCATGTGGCCTCAGAAAATGCCATCTGCCCTTCTCTTCTGATAGCTTTAATACTTTTATAGATAATTCACTACTTTACAATAAAATTAATCCCTATTTTATAAATATAAATGTGTTTTTACCATATATTTAAAGTTATACATTAATGTCTTATGGCATTTAAAGTCATTTAAGACTTCACAGGGTTATCCTGCAACCTTCACATGCTAGGCATAGCACACAGAGGCTGCACAAGGAGCACACATCACACACACAGAAAATACAGGATAGGAGACGAGAGGAGGAGAAGAGAGGAGAGGAGAGCACAGGAGAGGAGAGGAGAGGAGAGGAGGGGAGGAGAGACAGACAAGCGAATAAATGAGACATTCACAAATAATGTGAAATGCTTGACAAGGCGTCCTAGGCTCTCAAAGCTCAGGCCAAGGTTGGAGGGAACATACCTAGCAAGATGGAGCTGAAATCCACTGACTCTGCTAAGTCCAGGCTGGTCCAGGCTAGTAGGAGCAATGTGGACTGAAAGTCCTTAAGCGTTGGCGGAAGGACGGGCATCACAACTTGAGATGAGCCTGGCAGAGGTGGAAGGCGAAGAGAGCATTGGTCTGAGCTCAGCACAGTCCTCTGGGACACAGTCCATGTCAGGAAGCATCAGGCCGGGATACAGTGGGGACGTCCCAGTGATGTCAGCTGAGTACAGACAGAGTCCGTTTTTCTGGGAGTGACGCTGAGAGACAAGAGAGGACAGACTGCTGGGTGTCAGCTTTGAACCAAGTAAGGCAAAGAGGCTGAAGCCTCAGGTCATGGAGCTGAAAGTTTTCAGTGTTGGGACCCCTGGATTCTACTGGGGACATTGGTGCAGCTTATTCTGCAGTGTAAACTTGTACAGCTGAGACTGACATGGGATTGGAGTCATCACTGAGGAATCTTTAGAAGAGGGTCACCCTTGAGCAGTGCCAATTCCTACGCTTGTGCCCCAGAATGGGTGTGAGGGGGACTCTAGGGGAGCCCAGGCAAGCTCACTGAGGTGCACACATTGATCACACTCTGCTCCTGGCCACACGGATAGGATGTGAGCAGCTGCTGGGCATTTGCGTCTCCAGCTCACTGGTATAATTGACTGTGTCCTGGAAGTGCAAGTCAGAATCACCAGAGGAAAGGAAACTACAACAGCTTTGTTCCAGGTAGTCACACTGGCAAAGCAGGACGGCAGGTGGCAGGTGTGTGATGGTTCTCTTATCCGACAACATCCTCTAGCTTTGACTCCCCAATCAGGCTCTGAGTCATGGGAGCACACGGCATGGCTGTCATTTGTAGACCTCCAGGTATAATGTAAGAATCCCCTATGGAGTTCTGGCTAGGAGCTGAAGATCTCTGTCCGTGAATGCCATCTGTCAGGTGACAAGAAGAGAAAGTTTTAGAGGCCCTGAGCACTCCTCCAGCAACAACCAGTCATGAGAGGAGAACAAACAAGGCTCTTCTTGCTGCCCTCACACCACCATTCCACTGAGAGAAGTCATTAGCTGTGCCTGGCAGAAGCTCAGGTGAAGAGCATGGATCCCCAGACTTCTCACCTTTAAGGAACAGCCATGGAGCTGAAAAGACTGGCCCTCATCCCCGGTGTCCCTTGGTCAAGTCCCATTTTCAGAGGAATTCTAAGTCTAGACACTGAAATGGATGTGACCCATGTCACTCTGAGCAGCGGCAGGCTCGCAAAGACATGGACCACACCCGTGTTTCCCTCCATACCACACATGGGAGTACTGGCGATTGTCACATAGAGATGGCGCCCTCCTGCCCTGCAGACAGAGATTCCTAGCTCGCCATGTGTCATGTGCCCCGGGAGCTTCAAGGAGAACTGAGGGGATGGAAAACCATGGGACGAGAAGGACAGAGATTCCCAACCACCTTGAACATAAGCCAACTCATATCTTCATGACCATGACCCTGTCCAGATTCATTCTGAAGGATGATGTAGGAACAGACAAAGGAAGCATCGGCCAGGAAGTCAGTCACAGGGTCTTCACAAAGAGACGACTGTAGAGAGACTGCACAGATGGCTCCACATCAGAGGCCACTTCCATGTTCTTAACAAGGCCTGCACATAGAGCGATTTGAACGATCTCTGCATGGCACACGAGGATCCCTCCGTACCTGTCAGTACATCTACTCATTCCTAGAACCACTGCTAGTTTGGGGCTGGGACAGAGGGAACCTGGAGTGTCATAGCCCTTCCCATCTTTCTGACCTGATCTTCCATTTCAAGACTGGACACTGTCTTTCTGGTCATCTGCTCCCTGTGGACATGTGCTCCACATTCCCCCATCGGCCTCTCCGGCACCTGCTCTCATCACAGTCTTTTGCTGTCTGCTGCTACTTGAGTTGCATGAGATATCAACTAGTTAGGTTGGAGCAGGATCGCTCCCACAGGAGGCATGCTGTGTTGCAGGATTTAACCCAGCTGTTCTAGAAG